CCAGAGAGATATTTTGGTGCTTTTGCGTAACGTATGTGTGGCATGACTGTAATTAATGGAAGGTACAAAGAAAGATACATGAGACACGTATAAGGAAATGAAGATTTGTTTGAATTATGACGCCAGTTGTGCGTTCGCATCACTTAAGGTTTTGGACTTCCAAAATATTAAGCGCTTCATTTTTCTTGCACAGAGTGTACCAATTCTTCAAGGTTTCCTTTTCTTCTCCCGCGAACTAAACCAATCAATAGCCGACAACAGTTAAAATCGCCGTGCGATGAAATGATGTATTGTTTGACATCCATTAAGTTTTTACATCGAGGATGATCCCTTCGTAATATACTTGATAGAAGATTTCTGTCTTCTAGGTTGATGCGCTGTGTAGCCTGGTAGATGTTTACCAACGTTTCATCGCCCAGATGACGGAGGCAGTATGACCTCAGAAACGTTGGTTAACATAGACCAGACTACACAGCGCAACAATTCAGAAGACAGAAATCTTCATACTCAGCGCCCTGATGATGGAGGCAGTATGACCTCTGAAACGTAGGTAAACATCGACCATACTACACGGCGCAACAACCCAGGAGACAGAAATCTTCATACTCATCGCCCTGATGATGGAGGCAGTATGACCTCTGAAACGTAGGTAAACATCGACCATACTACACGGCGCAACAACCCAGGAGACAGAAATCTTCATACTCATCGCCCTGATGATGGAGGCAGTATGACCTCTGAAACGTAGGTAAACATCGACCATACTACACGGCGCAACAACCCAGGAGACAGAAATCTTCATACTCATCGCCCTGATGATGGAGGCAGTATGACCTCTGAAACGTAGGTAAACATCGACCATACTACACGGCGCAACAACCCAGGAGACAGAAATCTTCATACTCATCGCCCTGATGATGGAGGCAGTATGACCTCTGAAACGTAGGTAAACATCGACCATACTACACGGCGCAACAACCCAGGAGACAGAAATCTTCATACTCATCGCCCTGATGATGGAGGCAGTATGACCTCTGAAACGTAGGTAAACATCGACCATACTACACGGCGCAACAACCCAGGAGACAGAAATCTTCATACTCATCGCCCTGATGATGGAGGCAGTATGACCTCTGAAACGTAGGTAAACATCGACCATACTACACGGCGCAACAACCCAGGAGACAGAAATCTTCATACTCATCGCCCTGATGATGGAGGCAGTATGACCTCTGAAACGTAGGTAAACATCGACCATACTACACGGCGCAACAACCCAGGAGACAGAAATCTTCATACTCATCGCCCTGATGATGGAGGCAGTATGACCTCTGAAACGTAGGTAAACATCGACCATACTACACGGCGCAACAACCCAGGAGACAGAAATCTTCATACTCATCGCCCTGATGATGGAGGCAGTATGACCTCTGAAACGTAGGTAAACATCGACCATACTACACGGCGCAACAACCCAGGAGACAGAAATCTTCATACTCATCGCCCTGATGATGGAGGCAGTATGACCTCTGAAACGTAGGTAAACATCGACCATACTACACGGCGCAACAACCCAGGAGACAGAAATCTTCATACTCATCGCCCTGATGATGGAGGCAGTATGACCTCTGAAACGTAGGTAAACATCGACCATACTACACGGCGCAACAACCCAGGAGACAGAAATCTTCATACTCATCGCCCTGATGATGGAGGCAGTATGACCTCTGAAACGTAGGTAAACATCGACCATACTACACGGCGCAACAACCCAGGAGACAGAAATCTTCATACTCATCGCCCTGATGATGGAGGCAGTATGACCTCTGAAACGTAGGTAAACATCGACCATACTACACGGCGCAACAACCCAGAAGACAGAAACCTTCATACTCACCGCTGTGAAAACCTCAGATCTTACATACTTGATAGAAATGGGGAGCATCATGTCACCCATGCAAAAACAAACTCTGTTTTTATGAAGGAAAATAGAATTTCGCTGTTTAGCTTATTAATGATGCTGTATGAGCCCAGCGGTTATTTAGCGTCGAATGGTGTGAATGGTTCGATGAAGTTTAAGGGATTTGAAAGGAAGCAGTCGAGTCGAGGTTTGAACTAGAGGCATCCCGAATAGGAAGTAGGCACTCTGCCTCAACGCTCCGTGATTGTTAATGTGAACAAATCAAGGGAGACGAGACGCGAGAGGCATGGGGGCAAGACATTTTGATTCGTAGCCTTATGAAAATAAGCCACTTGGAAGACCAAAGCGCTGAACGTAAGATATTAAAGGGGATTTGAGATAAATAATTTGTGACGGTGTGAATTGGACTGAACTACCTAATTAAATTTGAGGTCGGGATTTTGTGGTAACGATTATGAATCTTATGTCTCGCGGCAGCTTGGCAGTTCCTGATCAGGTAAATAACTGTGAACTGTTCAAGGATAATTCTGTTGGCCTGCCACGGAATCTGTTCATTGATTTCGCTCAAGCAGTATCCAGATTCTATCTGTAGGTCTGTATACAATTCGTCCTAAACCACTGCATTTAGTCAGGTATAGGACAGCCCTGAATTTTTAGTCTTTATTTCTTAAACGGCTTACATACGTGTATTTATTCAACGTTGTTAAGATTAGAATCTGACCGAACGCTATAAAGTCTTCTCGATCTCATGAGCCGTGTGTGAATGACATTGCAATCCAAACTTTTGGAGACGGTATCTACTTCCATCGCAAACCCTGACTTTATTGTAACTTATCGACGATTCAGAAAAGCGTTGATTATAATGTTGCAAATGTATTTAAGAACTGGATGAACAATTGAATTTCGTTCGCCGTATAATTTATTAGAGGATTATCCCATCAGCTTCATCGCCGCTGTCTCTAGTCATCTCTCTTCTGTTAGATCTTCTTTTGTTTGTTTTGCTCGAGTATATAATCGTTGTACACGCTGGACTGGTTTTCTTGTTAATTAACGACCACAATAAATGTGAACCAAGTAGCGAGAAGAGACCGAGTGCTAACAGGACGCATTTCAGCAGAAGGCGCCAGGCGCCGTCTACTGTCCGCAAGTGTCAACAGCTCTTTTCTTTAAGGGTGGCTGAAAAAAGATTCTCTTGTCAGAAATGAAATTCCGGCTAAGAAAATATGTTTGTCTCTATCTGCTTCGTCACAAGAAACATCGCGCGGATAACCGTAATTTTAAGGACGTCTAAGGAATTCAAATTTTATTCATGAAGTCACGGAAAAAGAAATCTGTAGCATTGAAATCGTTATGCTACATTCTGTAGTTAATTTAACGTCACTAAATAGCGTAAAACTACATAATATAGCACGAATCTCTCTCCTCACGACTTTATAAACTGTATCTTCAGCTACCTTGACAGCAGTGCAATTATGACTTTTATAGAAAATTCGTCACATTGTCGTTATCAAGGTGGGTTTCTTGTAACAAACCCTTCTTTATTTTTAGTTGTCTTCCGAAAATAGCTCCTCTTGTGCAGACGCTTTCTAATCTCTTATTTTCCCCATTATAATGAGACCTTGAAACTAAACACAAAACGAAAATTGTGCTTTGACACTTCAGCGCTAAGTGGTGACAGATTACATTAGGTGACGAACGTTTTACATGAAACAAGCATTTAATTATAATAGAGTTGTAGTAGTAAACTTTATCGTGTTAAAAATATCTAATTGTCAAGAGAGAAGCTGATAGTCGCTCAGTAGATAAAGAAAATGTTCGACAATTTTTTAAACCTGAAGGTTGGTGTTCAAAACACCCCGCCACTGGACCCTACATTAAGCCAGTTGAATCCAACCAAACAGAAACACCTTATGTGTCTTAAGACCATTATATTGTATTTGGAAGCAGTTATGAGTCGTATCGAAGTTCATCTCAATGTTTCTGGCTAGTGCACGGAAAGATCAATGATCTGCAAACAGTGAACAGCTTAACGTGTGATGAGTAGCGACTGCCTTTACGGAAAAGACTGCACTCTCATATACCATTCATTAATCAATGATGCGAAGGAAACTGTGGATCACAGGATTGGCTCTAAGTAAGAAAGAATAATTTCAAATAAATACTGACAAGTCACATACAAACATTTTGTAAGCTATTGAATTGATATTTTTTACAAATATTTTACATATTTATACACAGTATTTATCATATATATTTAATATGAAACCAGCTGACATTTAATGATTAATACAATAAAAAATTGAAATTCACTCTTTTAAACTTGATCAGTCCTTAACGTGAGAACATTTCATCTCAATTCTCATGTTTTCTCATTTTACATGATTCATTTTTTGTTTCGATAAAAAAGTACACTTACAATATTACTTTGTTCAATTTTCTAGTATTGCGTTAGTTCTTCAGTAGCAGGGCATAGCAAGATATGCATAGCAGACAACCTCTTCCTTAAATAAGTACGTAAAGCGGAACTTATCCTGGTAATCTGTAATGTACCGGAACTTCTTTTGTGCAAAATATAGTCCTACTTAGGTTTTGGTAAATATATCAAGCATGAGCAGAATATAATTTCTTTCTGAAGTTGAGGTTAACCCGATATGCACAGTAATATCAGAAATGACCTCTGCCCTGTAGAACAGTGATATTCAACCTGGGGTACGCAAAGACATCTTAGGGGGCACGTGAAATTTAAAAATATATATATTATTTTATGATAAACACTGAATAATCAGTACTGTAATTTATTTTAGATGTAGATTATATACTATGTATAACTTGAATTATACACCAACATCTTTGCGGGTAGAAAGTTGAAGGGAAATTATATCTGGGGGTATGCGAACAAAAAAAGGTTGAATACCACTGCTGTAGAATACCTATCACGGGGTGAGAATGTTCTTGGTGCAGCCATATCAATCACACAGTGAGCAAGTACAGTACCCAATGAAAGGAAATTTCAAAAACAAGTTAGTAAATGAAAATCTACATTAAAAGAGAAACATCATTTTTCAAAGATTAGTCACAATTATGTAAACACCGACACCACATTTATTTATGTCTCACACTGACTGCACAGACACTGCATAAATGCCAACGGAGCAATAAACATTTAACAGATTGTTAACAATCATTCCACATCATTCATTTATATTATTGCTTTCGTTATTTTACTTAATAATCAAGGCATATTATATACATCTGCGGCATGGTACATCTTATAAATAAATACTGTCATTTGTACAATACTTTTATTTTTAAGCTGCAGGAAGAGCTTCAAAATTTAAAAGAAATCAAACTGTATTCAATAGAATGTATGGTCGTGTTTTACGAAACTACACAACAAAACACGGCAGGATTATATTCCCGTATTAAAGAAACGTCCTTTAATAACTGTAATGGATTTTCCAATATTTGTATAAAGAAATATGAAACAAGAATACAATGTGAAACTCCTTTCACTGGAAACTGATCTTGCTATCATTTGAAATCCGGCTAACCACAGTAAGAGTACGACAATTAGTTCTGATGCTGGCGGCCGTCATTTCTCACAACTTTAGAAATATACAGAGCTGGATTTGTCAACATTCTCCACTTTAATAATATAATTATTTTTGCCCTTTGCATTGGTGTAATATTAGCTGATTTGGCATCTTGGAAGTACAGTGTCTTTCTACCTGCTTCTTTCTCTAGTCCAGAATGCTTTAGATATATGCAGCAGTAAATAATAAAAGAGTTTCCAAAATGTGTTTCCCATAAAACACTAGGCATAATATAAAAAGTGGTTCTTCAAAATGAAACTCAGTATCATTCTCAAGAGGTTTACTAGCCTCAATGCAAGATGAGATAAAAAGAATTAGTAATGGTGAATGGTCCTCCAGGTTGGGGGTTGGTCGCAAGGCTAACAACCTTGCACCGTAAAAAGGAAGATGTTTTGAAACCTCAATCAAAGCCTCGGACAGACGGACCTAACAGAGGACCGAATGGAAGAGGAGAATTGAGAAGGCCATGGACCGAATACGGAACGGAGAGCCATAGAAGAAGGAGATATTTTATTAAATAAGCTATATCATGGAAGTAGAGAATATAAGAAAAATGGAAAATATACATTTAGTATCACTGCCACGGCATGAAGACACAGTCACAGTGCACAACGAACACAACCCAAGTCAATACTATTTGATTTTGTCTTCTAAAACACCCACTCCAAATCAACTTAAAACATCCAAATAAATTCCAAAAGTTTATCAAAACATTTCTTTCTAGATAAAGTATATCTGTTCTTCAGTAAATAAACTGTTTCGCCCTTTATCCAGTGATGTTTCACAGCCATTAAAATAGTAATCACCACCTGAATGGACAGATATCGTGCAACATCAAAATACAATGGGTTAACAGACTGCTGGAATATTACTGAACAGTATAATTGGAACAAACAGAAGAATGGACCTAAGAATAAGCACACCTTTACAAGAAATATTGCTGAAATTAAGATTGGAGTTATCTCGCCATTTATCTAAATTTAAGAGCAATATAATATCAAGGACAGATTTACACACAGTACGGTGGTCTAAAATGAAATTACATGGTCAGGTGAAACATGATATAGAGAGATAAAGAATAGTCAGAATACAAAAACAAGAGAAAAGAATGAATGTGGGTGCAGCAATGGAAACATGCATGGATGGTGATGATTATGGAAATGATAAGCCCCAGAACCATACAGAACACTTCGCAGACAAATGGTTGACACCTTTAACCAAGATTCAAAAATATGTTTTGAAATGTTCAGGTGTTCTTGATTGCAGGTTCTTTTTGCTGTTTATTATACACCTTTGGGTTTAAGTTGATATCAGTTGCTTAAATGTACTCGTAGCATCTCAAAAGTGTCTTGAATTATCTGTGGATTGTGTGAAGGAAGATTTAGCCTGTGACTGGGTAATTTCCTGAAATGAAAGCTAGCCAGTCACAAATTTATTCATAAGTGATGGATGAACTGTATGATACATCTAAGCAATGAACATACCTCAGGCCCAGAAGCCAAGACCAATACCACAGAAAGGTGATTCAAGAAATTATCAGTATCACTTTGTGCACTGATGTGTATCAACTGCTTTCAAATAATTTATTGGAAGTTGATTCTTGTTTCACTGATATCAATGGTGACTTCTTAAGAAATTCTTGAAACCTTTGTGACAAAAAATATTAGTCACTTAATGCCATTTATATTGTTTTATACTAAAACCATAATATATCTCAAGCTTTCTGAACTAATTTCCACTATTCCAATATTTAACACTCACCAACAGCAAAAGAAACATAAAACGCTTGTTACAATGGTGTGTCACCTTGCTTGAAAATATAGTAGTAGTCGTATAAATATCTGTTTAAAATGGGGACCAATATATCAATCTCCAGAAAAAATGAAATAACATCAAATGCTATATAAAAATCAAAGTGGTATACTTGGCCAGAATATTGTTGATGAAATTTATTTTTGAGAAATTTCCACTTTTATTGGGCACTTACATTAATCCATAGCCCTCTGTGGCAACAAAAAAAGGTATTCCCACCATTGCAATGTTTCGTATGATAGCACAGCGACAAAAAGAAGCGTGCAGGGCACAGTCATATGATATACTTACTGCTTTCCCTGTTCTTCTTATATTTCTTTTTGGGTTGTTATAATCAATCTGTCCACATATTCAATTAACTTTTTGATCACAAAGCAATTTTTGTTCATTGGTTGCAAAGTTAAGATTCATGATATGTCACTACTGTTTTATCCTGAGATACAAAATGTTACTAAAAATCATGTATGTATAAACGAACAGTGATGTGCTCATTTTTTTTAAATATTTTTTGTCTGGAATTTGTTGTGATACTAAATTCTTAAAATCAATACATTTTAATACCAGAAACAGTTTCTCACTTCATATTTCATACATCAAATTCATAATTCACTTAATAAGAAAATGGTTAGTTTATTATGACAAAAAAATTTCTAGTAGCCAGTTCTTTTACATTCAACTCATTAATTATTATTAAATTATAAATGGTTACTGGCCGATAGACCTAAATAATTTGCTTGACATTAGTGCAGAGGAATTTTCCCATTGGAACATTACGAGGGCAAGAAATTTAAAATCAAGTCAATGGATTTTTATAGACAGAATATTAACACTGCCTGAATTTCAGTGTTTTCTGGAAATGCTACTTTAAAAACACATGTTCAAGAACAATGAAATTTATCACAGCCATCAGCTTGTAAGTTGTCAGATCATAATTAGAATGATTATAAATTGCCTCCAATGTAAATAATTGCTTGATCAAGGTGGTAGGTAGCTTAAACACCATGTATCATGAGGTCTTTTTTTTATCACACACAATTCAAATTCCTGTACCTCCTGCATATGAAATATTACAAGTAGAACAGTTGAATACAGCCAAAGTATAACAGTATTGACTGTTCACATCTACCAATACTTGCCCCCCCTCCCCCCAAGCTATCCATCTTGGTTGCTAGACTACTAGACTAATGGCAATGTAAGTGCCCAATTATCATTAACAACAGAAACACAGAAATAGTTTGGTAAGATAGGACTATGTAATGTGACATGAAAATAATTGCAATTTAGTCACAGAATTTATAAAACATTCTTGTTTTTGTAACATTTTCATTGCATTTAGTTGTTACTAGGCAAAAGAAAATCTTTTCTTCAGTCTAAAAACTAATGCATCCATTCGACTGAATACACAAATAGAAAATAAAGACACTCAGATATTCACACACAAACATTAAGAACATTTCTGCACAAATCTTGCAATCTTCTTATCCCACCATTAACCAGAATTATTGCCTCTTTGTCCATTTTATACAATATTAGCTCCACAAGATGTTGCACAGTAACTATTCACAGACGAATTCTTAATTAACATATTGTTCATCTCTCTTTAAGAACGGATTACTGAAACCAGGTGATGGCCATCCGTATGTTACGACTCCCACTCCAAACTGTATGTGGATGTAAAACATATTGGTCATAACTTGTGACATACATATTTCTGGCATTACCATTTTCCTCTCATGAGATTAACGATTCCACTTTTTGGGTTTTCCAAATTTTTTGGTATCAAGTCTGTTCATACATAATGACTTTTTTTGTTAATAAGCAATAGTGGCTGAATATCACTTGCCTGGGTATAAACAAAACAATATATTGATATTATCTGATGGTATTTCTATAACTCTGCAACCCTGACAATGCAACAATATAACTGTAATGACAGTACTTTCCTTGTATACTGCCCTCTGTCTGGATAAAAATATATACTGGTATTATGTTGCAAAGATTGTCTTTTCTCTTATCTGAAGACATTAAGCCTCAAGATGGCCGTCTTCAGACCCACCACCACGACAACCTCAAATCCTACTACAAAATAATCCTTCTTAATATGTACCATTTTATACACACAATGGCAATGTCCAAAAAAAGTACTTACATGATGTTACTAGACAAATGTTACAGACATTTTGAAACAATGCAATTTATATCCATGAAGTCTGGATAAAAACTGCAATAGTTTCTCATATTGCTGTAGAGACAACAGTTTCACTGAAATATGTAATAAGAAAAGAAAAGCAATGCAATTTGCGAATGGATAATTATTTTCCTACAGGCAATTCTTTAATTCAGGTTATCTTTTATTCTGTGGGACTGGGGAATTTACACACCCACACGAAGGGGCTGCCAGATGGACTCCAACTCTGGGGTTCACACTTAAGCAGTATGCTACTGTGAAGCACAGCAAAGTGGACAGTGCATGGGCCATGACACACTGCCGACAAAGATTAAATAGTCTTGATCGACACATAATGTCTCAGATCAGTTACAAGTGTTCTGAATAATGTTCACTGTTACCAATTTCAGCTGCCATTATGACCTTCATATTTACAGTCACAATCCAGACTACAGACCACACAACACACCATGTGAAGGACAGAACCTGTCTAGTTCCTGTAAAATAAATAATAATGCAATATCCAGATTATGAAGCTAATTCACTGCCAATAATATATGAATCTTTAAATGTGGGACAGAAATGCAGGCATATTTCCATCTGTTTTTCTTTATTTTTATAAACAATTACTGAAGAAACAGGAGGTTACAATGATATGTTTTGAAGATATTTTTCTTCATTTTAAAAGCATCAATGACTTGGAAAACAAACTGGAATATCTCTATATAATTATGCAATGCATTATTTAATCATACACAACAGTTGGATGACTGATTTGAATGTATAAAAACGGGAATTTTAATACCATATTTTTGCAAACAATTACCTATACACCACGGCTACTGATGGATTGTCAAGAATTATGGAATGGCACTGACAGTAATGTCAAAAATCTTGGAAACACAGACAAAGCAAAAGTAAAGCTGTCCTGCTACATGCCATGTAGGTTGTTTGGGGGGAAGTGGAGGTACAGGTTCTACTCATTCTTGACCATGGCACTAGATGGGGGGGGGAGTGGTCAGCATCACGCCCCGGCCACCCTTAACCCCCAGGAAAGGACCCTGGTACCCATTGGATAGGAGGATAGGTGAGCCCCAGAAATGGTCTAGACGGAGAGGCCAGAGAAAAAAATTCTCTGCCGTCGGAGATCGAACCCCAGTCGTCCAGTCCATAGCTAGTCACTATACTGAGCTATCAGGAAAACAGAGACATGCCCTTAAATCATGATCCAGAAAAAATGTTCCTGTGGGTTGTCAGATTAATATTGTCTGTTAGTTTTCACAACAATCAGAGGATGCTGGAGAAGAAAAACATATCTTGTAATTCTGAATTAAATACATCAATTTATTGAAGGAGGTCTATATGGGTTTCCTGGCAATAGGCAAAAATATAACAACTTCAGTAGTTTGCAATTAACCATTAGAAGCCTGCTGTTTGTGAAATTCCATTTGCAAAACCCTTTCCATACCATAGGAATAAAAATGGACGTTTTATTGTTTTAATATCTGGACTCTTTGATGAACACACACATATAAAAATAAGACATAATCCAGGATGTTTTCAGAGCCGTATCTAACCAATATCTTGGCACAGAGGCATAGATACATTCTGAGGAAACACATTTATGAGTTGGCAGTATCATGAGACCCATGTTAAAATAGGATTTCTTACAAAATAAAATGTAATATTCATATAATAATTGAACAAAGATGTTTATCAGAGATGAAGTAATATACAAATTAACTACTAATAAGTGTATAGGATGTTCATAAAGGTCAAATTAACAGTAAAATAATATATTCTTCTCTGTTTGTATATTCATTCTACTGTGCCTTTACTTTATGAACACTCTGTGTTTATGTTTCTCTCTTGTAAAACCAAGACATGTTTAAAGATATCTAATAAACTGTTTCATCATTCAGCATAGGTCCTTTCAAATGATTACAGGAAAGGGTACCATCTATGTATAAGGAATGGCTCTTTTTTCAAATCAGCCCCATTAAGGTTCACCATTATGTAGTATAAACTGCTGACACTATCAGCACAGAATAAAGTAGGTTACATATATTTCTGAAGTTACTTGGTTATGTCAGTAATGAATGGTATACACCCACAGACGCACTTACAAAACAGATCTTGAAGCTTTTTCACATCTTGCATCCACACCCACAATATTGCTTTGATTCAATAGTCTTGAAACTGTAGCATTTGATTTTTTCACCAATGCAGAGATTTTCTACACAAAAATGAAATATATAACACGGTGAGAGAGGAAACTATTCATAGAATTTTATTGAAATATTTCTTTCACAGTCTTTTTTCACTCTCATGGCACTGACACAAAAACACAACACACTAATAATGAGTTTTCCAAGAATGGGCAACTCACAGGGCACAGTACATCAGTTTGTTTCTTCTGTTTATCAGGCTCCTAGTTTAAATCGGATAACACAGATTTCTTTCTGCCCCTTTGGTATGAGACATGTCATTGCTTCACACCTGAGATGATTCACATTTCAAAGACAAATTCACAAATCTCTCCCAATGGAATATATTTCAATTTGTGTGATTTTTCACAGCTACCGAAAGTAAAGGCATGCAGTCAAAACTGCCGTAAAGTCTGCTGGCTGGCAAACCAAACCCATTTTTTCCAACACCAGTGAAGCTTCTTTAATATCGCACTCACCATGTTTAAACACTGCCTGTGCATATCTTATATATGGAGGGACATGAAAAAAGACCTTCTTACCAGCCAGTAGAAAATAGCTTACACTTAAACCAAGGATCTGCAGTTACTTTCTGACATGGCATTTGTGTTTAAAAAATTTGATATATGCTCTAAGCCAAATATCACATTTAGATGTCCACATATTTGCCTTAGTTAACAGTTCAGTCTGTCCACTAAATAAACAGGAAAAACACTAACACAAGATTAGCCAAGGTTAAACCAGAAACCCTTCTGAGAGATTAGCTGTGATTTGTGCTCTCATCGCTTGCACACTGTTCATTATCTTTTTCTGATGACCTACAAGTGTGATACCAAGTGCAGTAAGCTCTTTCACTGTAACTCTCACTACAGCATCCATGGACGTAATTCCTGCACGCTCAAAGTTTTCAAGGTAGCGTGCCATCTTGATAGAGTTGAGCCACTCTTCCACTGAATTGAATTGAGTCATATCTGGGGCATCTGGTGCTAATGGGTTGCCAGTCCTGATTAAAAGAATAAGCCAATATTAGTTTAATAATTACGTGTAAATATAGTTAATAAAATTGCATATTTTTATGGTATTGTTTCAGTGGAATAGGATGAAATAATGACAGATCAGATTTCTAGATCATAATTTCAATTTGATCTCATGTCCAACAATGACACAAATATATTGATGCAATATTAAACCATTAATTGAGGAAAATTGTTATAAGTGATGTTTTCATCTTAAGAAACTTATGTTCATGCCGAAATGCAAAACACCTTAACAGTGTACTTCCCTAAATCATAACTCTTTTGAAGACCATTTCTTGTGCCATAAAGTTAAAAACTCAGTGACAGTATATTCTTAAAGGTATCTTTAAATTAGTTTTCAGACACTGAAATACTACAGAGGACTCTTGTGGTCACAATAATTCACAATATCTGAGGATTATAATGTCAATCTCCTATGTTTTGATGCTGCGTAGGTAGATATTAATGTTTCAGAGAAACATGCTCTCTGTCTTCAGAGTTTAAATGATGTCAGAATCCAGAGAAACAACATAATCATCTTCTTAGTATTTCATTCTTTTATAATGGAAACTGACAGAATATTATTAGGAACAATCTTAACAGATAACAGAGAACAGCTACTTCACATTAATTAATTTTTAAACTCTTTTCATCCAGTTACGAAATATAAGTGTTGGCATTGCCATATGTGATAGTTTGTGTCCAGAAGTAAGAATACACCAATACAGAGCTTAGCAGTATGATTCCTGCCTCACACTGCTATATTTTTAACAAAGACAATAAAATATAACTTAAAATTGGTTTTATTTTATTTTTCCAATGATAAACCAAAGGCTTATCAAGTTAACAAACAGCAAGTACACTCATCTTGGATTTAATTTACTCTAGACAAGGGTCATAAAAAAGTGTATTCCATGGACCACATATGGACACTGAAGAGTTTTGCAATAATTTTAATGTAATTACTTCCCTACATAAACATTAGTTTGATAAATTACTACATAACTATATATCAGTTCATGTTCATACGATATTATAGGTTCATTTCTGATGGTATCAAGACAGAGAACAATGGTTTGTTAAGTGACAGAATGTCAGGACTTTAGTTGCAACAAAACTTAAAATCCCACTCAAAAGATGGTTATTACATGTATTGGTATTTACCAGTATTATTTAAATAATATTCAGGAAACTGCATGACCAACTCTATTATTTGCATACACTGGTCACTGTTGTTAGAATCAGGTTTTTAATGACTTAAGAAAGTGTAATTTTAAGAAATATAACCATAACTGTGAGAAAGACAGATTCATCAAATATTTACATAAGACTACATACGCTAAACACTAAAACAAAAAAATCAAAAGGCCAGTAGCCCACTCATCAGTTTACATTCCACTGCTGTAATCTATCACACACACAGAAATATAGTTTGTAATGTTACTCAATAAATAAAATATTCATATGATAGGCCCTGGCAGACCTTCATGGTTAGATAAAGAAGTTCAATTTTTTTAGACACAGAACACCAAAAGAAAAAAACACGACCTTTTAGAACAAAAACTTCTATAGCCAGAAACAAGTGAGCACCTAAAATTGATAAGCCACAATCATGAGCACACAAAGATAAGCAACTTCTTGCACCATGCAGTACAATAAAGCAATGTCAGCAAACCTGTAAATGTTGAAGTGGTTATGCCCCGCTTTTGTTTTGCTCATTTAGTAAGTTGCATGTAGGTCATCAGTCTGAAAAATGACCTACACATTCAACACTTGGTGTCTGTTCTTTGCTCAGTAACCAGCTGTTATTCATGCTGCTAAATTAGTATAACTTGCAATTTAAATAGTTCATAGACTCTTTTCAGTAGCACCCGATATATTTACACTATAAATAAATTCAACCTTTTCAATAACATTTAAGCCCACTAGAAGAGACTGACTTAGTACCCTGCCTGAGCCACCTGTTTTACCAGCACTTGTGGTACTTGTGCTGTATGCTGGTTTGTCAATATTTATGGCAGCTGGGAGTTGTGATACTAACCCTATGCCAGTAGAAACATGATTCAAAACCATGAATACCAATATCTGCAACTGGACATGATTCTAAGCCAATTTCATTCACCTCTCATTCTCATAACCCATTTCTCCAAGATCCTTATAATGATATACTTCTACCTCTTGGATTTGCAAGATCATTTTACAAGACACTTCCCAAGCCCAGCACATTGAAACCTCTTACAGCATCATGATAGGAAGGGTAGATGCTAATACATTCATTAAATAGTCGCAAACAACTGACAAGGGTGGACATCAAGCTTGAGAGTTGGGCATGAGGCTAACAACACTTCAGTGTAAAATGTCCTGTGTTACAAAACTATTATATATGCAATAAAATACAGACTTGAATTGGGGAAAGAACTTTCACAGCCCTCTCCATTGCAATAAAAAAATTGGTAAAGCAAGAAGTGTTTAATATTTACAGTTTCCTATTTGGAACAGAATTATTCTTGAGAAGAATTGCTCACCTAGTCAAGCCCCCCCCCCCAATTTTTTGAACCCAAAGGTGTATTACTGTGTTCACAAGAGGTCATGACTTCTATCTTCTGAACTATATAAATCCCAAACACATCTCAGACTCTATTAAGATCCATTTTATTATATCCTCTGATGTATGCCTATGTCTTTCAACTGGTCTCTTCCCTTCAAGTACTTCCCATCTCTTCTGTGCCCCATTCTTCTCATCTTCCTTCATTTGATCACCTACAGATATCTGATGAGTACAAATATGAAGCTTCAGCACTCTGTTCTTAAAACCCTCTATGTGTTCCTCTTAGGGCAAAATACTGAATTTCACACCCATACAAAATAAAATATACAAATATAGGTTGGTATATATCAATCTTTGCTGTTTTAGCCAACAGGTAGAATGGCAGAAAATTCTGAACTGAGTGTTAGTAAGCATTCCCTCAACTTAATCGGCTGTTCACTTCAGCGTGAATGTAATTTTTATCTGTTACACTTTACCAAAGAACTTCAAATGTCATATTTTTTTTAGGATTTGTTGCCTATTCTTATATTATTTTTCCTTGGTTCCTGATGACAAGACATGAATAATATGTATTCAGTTTACTCTGCATTTACTTTTAAAGTCAGTCTCCTCACTAGCATCTAATTGAGATTCAGCGAGTTTCCTTATGGTATTCATGTTTCTACCCTAATTAATAAAATCAACACAGACCAGAAGCTGACATGTCCCATTCAATTCCAACCCCTCCTGAATTTCTTGTACATTACAGCTGGCATATTCTAAACCAAAATCATTTGTATCTCTTGATACTGTGCCACTCCTTGTTAATTCATGAGCAAGAATACAAAACATGGTCATGATAATGGTTTTTACTTAGTCAACGTACACAACAACCACATCACCAAAATGCAACACAATGAAACATTTCCTACAATATAATGATAGTTGATTTGCAGCAAGAAGCAGGCTGGCAGTTTACCTCATCCACAAAATAAGGATTAACCAACTATATTACTCTAAGAAGAAATAAAAGTTTACTTTCAGGTTTATTTGTAAAACAATAATAAGTTTTTATCTAAAGGAGAATGTGGGTTTTAAGTGAACAATAAATTATATTTAAATTTGGATCTGCTGTGTCACACATATTTATTTATAACTAAGAGGTATGGAGGTGAACAGTCAGATCCTAAAACATATTGTAAATTTTAGTCCTTTTTCTTGAAACAGTCAACGTGCTTCCTCCTGATCCACACACAATGTGAAAATGAAGGGGTCACATGAGGGTGTATTCCCTACCTGGCATTCTTTCTTGGAATGTTTTCACCAATGAACCCATCAACCAATCACCAAAGCATATTGTTTACTCTACCCCAGGCGGCAGTTGGTTAAACACGACCCATTGAGGTGTCCGAATGGCTGCGGGTACGTAATAAGGGTTATGGGATGGTGGGCGCCTGCAACCACAGCCCCGGCAATCAAGGGAGACAGAAACAGAGATGCACCCCCACATTAATTAAACTGACCAAAATTAAGCAGTAAATTAAACTACCAAAGCAAACCTGCAAACTTTAAGAAAATTTCAATGTTCAAGCTACATGCTGCAGTTTACCTTTGACATGTCCACAGATCTGTGACAACTTCCTCCATGCATCAGAGGTGCACTGCGCACTTGTAAAAGCTGGATATTAAACAAGCACAAACCTACCTCATTTATCTGAGAAAGTAAATATAAAGTTCAGTGTTGTCGATGTTAATGTGCATGTTTTCATCCTTAATGGTTGGTTATTCGCAAATGTCCAAAACTTGCCGCAGTGTGCTAAAGAAATTATGAAAAATTGTGAAACTATTCATTATCAGTGGATTTAAAAATAAAATTTTGAGGCATTCATAGGTAATAAATGTTACTATAAATAGGGAAACAGTTTTATGTTACTATTATGCACAGAAGAATGATATACTATTGGTCAATAGAACATACAGAATTATATTACTATTTGCAATACAATATATTTCTGATTGCCCATGTGAAGTTTATTCAGTTTGCAGATCAGATGTACATTTTCTTTTTAAATTTCATTTGTTGAATTTACTGAAGGTTGATAAAATTGCACATAATTTTACACCAAGCATTCAATCCTCTCCCACCTCTAATGTTATGTATTCTACTTTCACATTCTGTAGCTTGTTGGGGGATGTGCCACATCAGACAGAGGTGAAGGGTGAACCTTTCCTATGACTGGGCTACACTACTAATGCAAATGCACAGTTATGGTTTAACACAAGCATAAGTAATTTTTGATACAACATAATACACTGAAAATAAAATAATTCTTAATTATCTGTGTTTAATATTCACTCCATTAATTTGGATAATCAAGAGTGTACTGTAATTAACCGTAGGAATTGCTGTTAGGACACAAATAAGGTTCTAAAAATATGCAAGTTCCAGAGAAACAGAGAAAGGCATACTACAGTATGCAAGTGTCCTATAACCAACCATAAATGAATCCAGTAACAGAATATTTGGCAGGTTTAATGCTGAATAATCCAAACTAAATGAGCACTGCCATACATACAAAATTACCTTAACAATGTTCCTTTACACAGCCCTGTGAACATGCTGTATAAAAGTCCTCTTTTCTGTAGCCACAGTATTTTTAATGATGTCCATAAAATGAAAAAAACTGATAATAGAAATTTCCCACAGTTGAAAGAAATGTTGAAACACAGAATGGAGATTTATGATTTTATACAAGTATCCCTTTGAGTTTTATTTCCATATATTTATTGAGGGGGGAAAAACGAAACAAAAAAAAAACATGTGCACCCACTCAACCCCAAAAATAAATATATCACACAAAGAGTGTCTCTCTTGACATAATAAGTCTGTACAATGTTTTGACATTATGTACAAGTTGCATATAACATATAATCTAATTTTCAATGCTGAAAATTTTGTACTTTAACCTATGAAATATACACAATATCTTATAAGAAAGGAACGATTTGCAGAAAAATGTGCAATCCAGCTATCTTGTATTAAAATATTCCCTTGCTTAACCTTAGTGTCAGACATTTTGTTGAAACCTGCAATGAATGTACTGCTGTTGCTCCCATCTCATAAGTTAACATGGCTACCATTTCATTTTCTGTGGCAAAAAGTTAGGGAAAAAGTACCAAAATGAAGGGGGTTTAAATTGCATGATAAGCTGAAGTTACAAAGAAACATCCGTTTATACCTGATAAAATTGGAGTCACCAGTTGTAACAAAGGACAAACAGGTAAATAAAAAGGAATTTTGTTCTTTTGAATCCTAAAAAGAATGCAATAAAACCCGTAATACGATGAGATACCACAGTTGTCAAAAGCTCATACAAAAATCAAAGTCCCAAATCATAAAAGAAGGGAAAATTCTACAGCAGTTTCTTTAATTTTATGGAAAATATCCAACATCTAAGCACTACACCAAAACAAAGCACAAATCATGTCATAAAACCATACAGTATGCCATAAAGTATATACCTCAAACGATGCTCATTCAAACATATATACATAAACATTAAACAGTTGACAGGACAAACCAATTTTCAGCCCAGAGTTGTCAAGCAGCTACTAAATCCAGAAAATATTTAACAGAATTGTAGAAGCCAAAGTAATCTGAACATCATCTTATAGTATTTTCAATAATCAAAAATGAACTCTTATTCCACTAAGAGCACTAACAAATAAGAATAATGTCCATACTGATGGTCTCAATGAGTCAGATTCTAAATTCATTCTATGTAACCCTGTGGTATTAGCTGGAATTTGTATGACTGAAGAAAAACACAACTATAAAAACTGACTAACATAATTCATATTACTGTGCACTCATATTTTAAGAAACAGGATAATTTGGATTTTGAGTATAATTAAAATAGTAGATACTAGAGGATACTTACAATTACATCTTCTATAATACTAATTAACCATTAAAGCAATGTGCTGTAGAACACAGACTCCATATAGATACTGCAGTTTCAACTATTCACATTCAGAACAACTTCAGAACTACGGAAAATATCATAACGCAACAAATAAAAGTGAAAAGTATGAATTCACAAACTGACTCATTCAATTTCAAGATGCTTTTGATATCATATTTTACATATCAATTGGCTTGACCGAAAATTGTATTTATCTTTTACCTGTTCTGTGCTATTTTCCTCAAGGTGTCAGGGCATCGAATGAGTTTGTCAAGTGTTTTAACAATGGAGGCAAATGTTGGCCTATGAGTTCTTTCTTTCTGCCAACAATCCAGCATTAATTGGTAGATGGCTTCTGGGCAGTCCATTGGTGCTGGTAACCTACAAAAAATTGTATTCAGAAAAGCATATTAAACACGCATCTTTGATAGAGCTTGTTTCACGTTTTATATCCTCCTCTTGTTACATGTATTGAAAGTACAACTGATACCTTTTCCTCCCCACATTATGTTTAATCCCAACAAACAAGCCTTGGTAATGGTCATTTAGTACTGCCACAGAACAATGCCATAACTGAAGGGAGAAAAATCAAGATTAAATTGGTGTCTTTAATTTTGTCTGGTTAGTTCTACTGCTGAGGATGAACACAGAGAAATATTTACTAGAAAATATTTCCCAATAAGAAGAAAATTTGGTATATAGTGGCAAAATAGTGTGTTACCATTATCAATGTGCTAAAACAATTCCATCGAAAAGCATAAACAAGATCAAATGTTCATGCTTTAAACACCGCAATTTCTAGATAGCGAAGTTTAATGCTTTATTTAAATTCTTCCCATGAATCAAAGAGGAAGTACACCTAAGTAGGATTTGAGATTCTCACAGCAGAGTCCTAAAATGGCTGTCTTCTGGGTTGTAGCACTGTGCAGTCTGATACAAGTTTGCCAGCTTTTCAGAGGTCCCTGCTGCCTCCATCATTAGATGAATGAAGGCAGCAAGGACCTCTGAAACATTGGTAAACTTGAACCAGACTACACAGTGCTACAACCCACCTTAGGAAGTATACTTGCTAGTCAGTAACAGAATATTACCAACTAAAATTTATTTCATATTAATCACTTTTGTACGGACATATGGCTGATTAACTTTTATTCCTCCACCAACTCAGGACCCTCAAAATTTCAAGTTATAAGCATTTACTGGAACTCCCATGATAGATTTTTTTCTCTGCTATTAATGTGTAACAAAACAAGCTGTCTACCAACCACTGGCGATGGACAGGGAACTGTTAACAGAGAAAATGGTAAATCAAATGTCCCCCCCCCCGACTGCTTTATACTCAAACACGCATCTGTTAGGTATGTTAATAGATGCTGTAACTAGCAATATTTTTTGTTTTGTTTTCCTCTGAGTTGCAACAAAGATTAAAAATATAACTGTGATAAGAAAGTATGAAATATATCCTTCAACTTACTGATATGGTCTCAACATTGAAGAAATTATCTGTACATTATTTGAGAGCAAAAATAGTGCAAAAACATTAAGAATCTATATGAAAAAATTTATTATGTCAATAGCTATTTATTGTAATTACAAAATGTTCAATACATTTTGTAAAATATGTAAAAGTAAAGTTTGTCTTTGGTGAAATTTCTTAAAATTTAGGTATGTTATATTCAGGTGTGCAAAGCATTTAGGCAAAATACAGCAATATATCAGCTATGGGCACAAAAAACACTGTAATACCTGTAGCCCTTCTCTATACTCTTGATGACATCCTGGTTTGACCAGTTCCAATATGGCCTCTCGCCATATGACATCACCTCCCAACATACAATACCAAAACTCCATACATCGGAGGCAGACGTGAATTTTCGAAATGCTATGGCTTCAGGTGCAGTCCATCTCACAGGAATCTTGCCCCCCTTGAACAAAAATATGCATAATGAACTAAATAACGTGTACTACAAGCAACAGAACCACAGTTAGCATGCAGAAAATAAAAAAACTTCATTATGTAATTAGAAAATGGGTTAGTTAATGACATCTTTTAAAATGCATAGTTTCAAAAGAGTCAAAAAGAAAAAATGGTAATGGGATCATGACTGGTGACCAGACCATGAACACAGAGTGGAAAAGGATCTGGAATAAATTACAATATGTGGCTAAATGGTACTACTGCAGCATTTATGTGGAGAAGCTAGGGAAAACCATGACACATATCAGTCAGGAGAGCTGGGTAGCTGAACTGATTAGCACGATAATACAAACACAGAGCATTACTGCAACACAAACATGTTCAGTTATAAAATTAAAGAATTCAGAGATATTCCAGTCCATGCCAAAATGTGGCACACAAAAATCTAAAACATGATGGTTCTGTGTAACATAACCCTGCTATGGTGACTAGAGTCTGCAAGAGAATGTGTGAAACTATACTGTTCTTCTCACATTAATATTAATTTTCATGACAAAATAAAATGCATATGGAATAAAATGACATTTTCTTGGTTTTAACTTCTCTTGTTCACAAAAATTGTATATGCAAATTACTCCACCTACAGACTATGCAAGGTAACACAAACAGAGAAATTAAAGGAGCACAGAAACAGATACGCTGAATAAAAACCTTGCTTTCAGTTTCATAGTCACTTTTGTCCATAATATATCTTAAAATATGCTAGTCCTTATTCACTGTAAAGATACAGAATTAGAAAAAACTGGTGAATTTTAAAGTGTAATATCAGTATCTTACTTCTTAATATGCAATGGAATCAACTCTGTTTTTTTTCCATTTACAGCTCGGTTGCTATGGTTTCTTCAGTTAAAAGATATTCTTCTGTTTAGTGTGAACTTTGACATTTTTATCTCATATTTCTTGTCTGAATATGGTTTAAAACTAATGTTTTTCTTCTTTGCTTAAAATCTTAGAAAATACTGGAAGACCTTGCATACTTGGAATTCCATAGTCCAAATTATATTATGTCAGAATTAAGACCAAACTATCAAGTTCAGTAAGGGTCAAATTCCATATTATTAGGGGAACTATTCATGTGTACAAATTTACATGAAAGAAGATGCATTTCTTCAATCTTTAAACTCTAAACTGAATCAAACAGACAGACTTAAATGGACATTCCATTGTACTCATTTGAAGTTAGGTTCTGGGCTATGCTGTAGCAATATATTTTGTAATTATAACACAAAATAAAATCTTACCCTTGTTGTGTATGCCCCTTCTGTAGTGCTTTCTATTTCACGACTCAACCCAAAGTCTGCAATCTTGCAAACAAGCTGAGCATTGACCAGCACATTACGGGCTGCAAGATCCCTGTGGACGTAGTTCATCTCAGACAGATATTGCATGCCTGAGGCTATGCCTCGCAGCATCCCGACCAGCTGGATGACTTGGAATTTGCCGTCATTAGCCTAATCAACAGTAATCTTAATTAAAGGCATTGTTCACATTTGTTCAGCATGTGGAGTGAAACATCACATCACAATAATATATCTTCAAACTAAGCTAACAAAACAAACAAAAATTGGTAGTTGGGTGTCTGGCCTGCCATGGGTAAAACGTGCATACCCATCACTTTCTTCATTCATGTTCATGGGATGAACAAAGAATCTGATGCTGTCTCATTAAGTATGGGTCCCCATTGCAGTCAGTAGTGCTTTTACATTTCTTCAGTATCCAGATAAAATAATAATTACAGCCTAAAAACGATTGCTGTCACTGAATTTGCGATATTGCAGCTTTGAAGTGGCACTTACCCTAAGGAATGTATCAAGAGAGCCATTCTCCATATATTCTGTGATGATCATGACTGGATTGGACTTTGTAACAACACCCTGCAGGAATATCACATTTGGATGTTCAAATTGACCCATGATAGATGCCTCAGTAAGGAAATCATTTCTTGCTTTGTCTGAGCTGCCTGGTTTCAGAGTCTTGATGGCAACATCAATTTCTGTTCGACAACCATCTGGTGGCAATTTTAACTTTCCTCGACACACATCGCCAAACTCTCCCCCACCTAAAATGTATATAAATAGTTATAACTGTTCTTATGATACATGAAATAAATAAACGAGCCTTTGATGATATGGTTCTAACATGATATCATACGCACATAAACTGAAATTATACAGCTAACAGAATTACATAATGAGTTAAATTGTATTTCCATACCTATGATCGCTTCAATAGTTATGCATGAAGCATCTATCTCTCTAGCAAACTCTCTGACTGCCTGATTAGGATCTTCGTATGTGTGGGGATCGATGTAGGTTCGGCTTGATGCGCCAACTGCGGTGAAGAGTGGTGTTGTCACTGCACATTCAAAGAGAGTGTGTCACATTGTATCTTCAACCAATAACATCTCCATTACACTCTACCAAAAATCACTATTGTGGGTACTGATTGAGCAAAAGTACTACTGTCAGCAAGAACAATGCATTCTTAGATTTCTGTCTTCTGGGTTATTGCGCTGTGTAGTCTGGTCGATGTTAACCAACGTTTCAGAGGCCATACTGCCTCCGTCATCAATGCATTCTTAGTTACTTCATTCATTTACTTTCTCTGTGCAAGAGTGGCACACCTTGATTAGCTAAGTATATGTTTTAAACAGAGCTGTTGTAGTATCAGTGTTCAAATGTACACAGAATAATTTATTAAAACATGCCAGAATGAAATCTTGCTTCCAAAATTTCTTTCAAATTACATCTCTCATAATTTACTCTCAATTATGAACATATGAATGGGCATATGCATATATGACAATGTACAAACTACTTCGAAGCCTTCCCTTAAGAATAAGACATGCGTACCCACTATGCGTTCTATTAATTTAACTAGAACAGGTATTTATTTTCACACTTTAAATATATTTTTTTCAAATAAAATAAAATACATAATTACACACAGTGAAATACAACTTTTGACAACATGCTTCTGAAACACAAAATGCTCCACATTAGAGATCTAATGACAAGAAACTTCATTCCCATGGAAAAACACAGCATAGTTTGGCTATGAGGGATATAATGCTACATCAAAATATAGACACATAGCAAGCATTGGTTAACAGATGTATTTCCAAAACATACCAACTCCAAATTCATGTCACTATTAACAAAAGTACTAAAATATTGTACTGGGGTGCTTTTCCTGAAAAATTCCAAAATGTAATCATAGGTAATCAAGAATATGGAATGGTTATTCATAATAAATAAAGTTATTCTGAATGGCATTGGGTGAACAGGAAGTTAACATCTATAGAAGAGTAAAGTTGTGTTTATTAAACTCTGTATGTCTAAAATCAACTAAAAATCATATGAGATCAGCCTTAATGCACTAGAATAGTTGTAATGAAGAAAAACAAACAATTTGGAAAAAAACACTTGTTTTTATATATTTGATATTTTATTTTAAGTGTTGTTCTAACATTATAATTTAGAATATTTCAGATATACTTTCATTTTTCATTCAGAAACTTGTCAATCCAAACAGAATTCCTAAAAGCCTTGATCTAAACAATGTTATTCCATTGTCAGGGTATATGAGTTGTCATAATTCTCAACTAGCAGCAAGATACTGGCACTTCAGACCCCTTAAGAGTTTGAGACTTAGTAGAGCCAATGGAGGACTGATAACAGGAAAGAAAACTGTGGCCCTGAGAATGAAATGAATGAGCTTGCAGCACAGAGTTTGCATACCGTGACATTTTTTCACATTTCAAACCCAGCGATTTCATCTTAAAATTTCATTGCCTTGGTCTCAAAAAGGATATGGACATAAAAATCCTTTCTGCTTCCATATTGGTGCATGTATAACCTGTTTTTAAATTTTATCAGTTTGGACCAACCCTATCCTTACATCACGAATTTTGTTCTTAGGGTTATGATTAATGTCTGTTCAACCTCTCCCCACGTTGGCAATGATGAAGAGTCAGTCTCTCAGGTACAGACTTGCATGAAAAATCCACACCGATTCTACCTGGTTTCAAACCTCTGGTTTAAGCCATAGAAGACAGCTGTCTTCTGGTTTGTAGCACCACACAGTATAGTAGCCCCACTACACAGCACAACACAACAACCCAGAATACAGCCATCTTCATATTTGCTGCCATGAGAACCTGAAATCCTACATAGACCACAGACCCACATTCAGCAACTTACCAGACCACATGGTCTCCATTTAGCACATATTCTTGCACACGTTATAAAACTATCAAAAATAAAACATTTTTATAAAAGAGGAAGCCACTGTGTCAAGCAAAAATACTGTATTTATCTACCTTGTAAGACAAATTCCTTTTCCTAATTTAGTAAAAGTGAGGGCTCATTTCTGATCATTAATAAAGAAAAGTACTTAATTAGGATGATTTAATCAGAAGTATTACAAAGTATCTGGCACTCTCAGTACAGATAGCATTACTAGGCATAACATGAGTGGGCTGTCTTCTGCTACAGGTACTTTCTGAATACAATACAGGGTAGTTATTGAGCAAATGTGAGCTAGAAGTGGTCAGATGCTATTTAACACTTAGGATTAATGCTAACTGTGAATAAGTATGACTAAGTAATATAACTGGAAATGAAACATTTTCAGATACAGGGGATTTTCTTATATTTGGATAAGTATGGTGTCAGGGCTCATAAATGGAGTGCGAAAAGGACGATGGTTTTTAAAATGAGATGGTATGCTTTTGAAATAAATATGTGAACCATGTGCGACTGCAGAATTGCGTGCTACTTACATCCATTGGTATGTGTGGTTACAATAGAAGGACTGTCCAAGTTGCAGTGGACTGGGGACACACATGAAACCAAACACAAATGATGCAACAATAACAGACAACAATGCAAGAATTGTGCAAAAAAATGTACAAAATAAGTAATTGGAAAGCAATAAAATAAAACGTTAAAGGCTGTGGTTAGTGGAAATGTATTTAATTCATAACTGACTATTTCAATATGCTGCATTATTTCTCTCATTTTCTTAGATATAATGAATTATTGTTTTGAGGAAATAATTAATGAAAATAAGAAGAAGAAAAAGACTGGAAAAAAGAGTAGAAAGAGTTGGATAAACAATCCAAAGATGAAAATACTGTAGATAACAGACATCAGTGGTAGATGATAACTAATAAATGATCAAAGCTATGTATGATAAAATAACCAAATTAATTATGTGTCTTCTTCAGTGATAGCAGTTCATAAATAAAGAATTAAGAATATTATGGAATAACATCTGATTATTTCAAGGCAGAATTTATATTTTCACATAATGCATAGGAGTGTAACTACCTGTAAATATGCATAATGTTAAAATCGGTCCTCCGAATACTGAATTAAACACAAATTTTTGCCTTTATTAAATGAAGAAAGAGGAAACTTAAACAACTGTGAACACTCAGCATGCATTTTAATCTCATCTCAGACACTGTGTGCATCTTGACTGAAGTGTTCCTGCTTCCTCAGCCCCCAACCTAATATTTGAGCGTTCGGTACCTCAAAGCACATCACGACCACTTTTTTTGTTCTGTATCCTTCCTAACTTATCACTCACAATCATTCCACCATTCTACATCATGTAACTTATACAGATTAAAAAGCATCTTTAAATAACCCATGAATCAGTCCAAACTCCGAGTAACAGGTGAGAGGGCCCGCCTAAAGACAATGGATGTTATAACTTGGTGACTGGTCAGAACCATCACATAGATCAGGGATGATGAAAAACAAGTAATGTCAGTGAAATAATGACTGGCAGAGAAATTCTAAATTCTTGGGGTTTCGGGTGGGGGGAGCCTGCAGTGGGTTTTTGCTGACATCTGAAAACAGATCCTCATATTAAGACACTAGGCATTTAACTGCACTAGCCCTGAGCATGTCCTTTTGATATATTAGTAAATATATGACAAAATTCTGCTTTAACAGTTTCTAGAAGATTTGCAAATAACATAATATTCAGTAACATGAAACAGCAAAGTAATCCATTAGTTGCAGTTGCCATTCTAATTTAATAAAATGCATGCCAGAATTGAAAACAATTCAACATGGTAGATAAATGGTAAAAATACTGAATTACAATTTCTCCATAGACAAATTGTAAATAACAAGATGTGGGACAGAATTAATAAACTGAAAGTAACTAAACTACAAATATTTTATCTACTCTACACATCCAAATTGCATAACACACAATCGAGCAAGCTAGCGAGCAAATTAGCAGGTGCACCAACTGAACAACTTACTGTAGGTGACTACTAATCCTGCTTGATTGGTTTGTTGGTTCATTGGCAATGTTGGCAGGAGTGAGAATTGATTGCATGTAAAAGATAAAAACAAATAGAGACAGAGAACATAATTAAAGGCAGGGTGTGTTAAAGAAATCAGCTAATAGACAAGGACAAAATGAATGCATGGTATAAGCAACATTAAAAGTTGAATGATACACCAGCAAATGCAACACAAACAGAAGTTAGGAAGAAGATGTCCACAACTTTGCATGACTCAGTATTCATAAATGTAATGATAAAAATATTTATGATATGTTTAATAATACAAACATTTAAATGAGCTGGAATTTCACTATCAATTTCAATAAATAGCATTCTTTAGCAAAGTCAAAAATAACTGTGAATCAATTGTATATAAGGGACGGGCAACAGATGCCAACCATTAATGAAGACAAAATCTTAAGGTCTAAGAAACATACTTTCTGAGTGTAAACAACATAAACATGGCTTCTTTTTGGTGGTATGCTAGAAAATGTCATACTAATTTTTTTTATTTTCAGAAAAAATGAAATCTGTTAATTAAAATAAAAATTGTACCCCAACATTTAACTGTATTGAGGTAACTTCTCGTGTGAAAATATAACACTTCTTTTTCTAATTTTTAAGGTTCATTTGGTTAAAAAGTTAAAGAATTCTAACTCCTCCTTTTGTCACATCTGTGTACTGACACCATCTTCCTAAAGAAAAGGTCTAGGTGTAAGTATAAATACACATATTCTCATTTTTCTGTGAATAAACTGCTGGAAATTTAATCATGGGCCCATGTGATCAAATCCTGTCCTCAGGACAATTTAATAATACAATAACTGGAAATAAAATAAAATATAAGAAACACTACATTAGGTATTTTTAATTATTAAGTATCACTCCATTAACACAAAGGTGGGAAAGAGCTATAGCTCCAAACATTCTTAATCTTGGCACTAGACGAAGGTGAATGGTCAGCTTAATGTTCTGGTGGCTTTAACTCCTGGTGATGATTGGCTAGGGAAATGGGCAGGCTATAAACCTGACACAAAGTGCAAAAGAGGAAAATCGTGCCTTGCCAAAAATAAAATCCATGTCATCCACCCCATACTGAGTCAGGTATTCTAGATGCTACTAGGGCATTAGATTTTTGTCCTAGTATCTGCGCTCCCTTCACTATACCTTTCTGGCAAATATTGCACTGAAGTGTGTTATTAAGTGTATGGTGAGAAGTTGCATTTAGACATCTTGTTTTGTGGTGCATTTGCTAAAATACATCATGTTACTTCTGGTGACATTTACACAACCCACAAACAACACAGCTATGCTGTATCTTTCAGATCGAACACTTATGGCTGTCAAGGTGGCAACAGCTGCAAAACCAAGAATTTAAAAATTTAGTCCTTAGGGAATAACCTAATTTTGTTTGTTTGTTCGTAACACTATTGTACTTGAAATACTGTTCTCCTCCACCAACCATACTTAAGCCTAGGCAATGTTTAATCCTGAAATTTGGAACATCCTTGTGCTGAAAGTAAATATACTTTTTTCATCACAAAGGTTGTGCAGTGGCCACCATGACTACTTATATTTTACAACAGTGATACAAGACCGTCATTTTTGCAAGCAACAGATATGACAAAGGTAGCAGTGGCAGTGAATGGGTGCTCAACAGTATTATAGATGAGACAGGAGACTGAACATTTTACAAGTGAGACTGACTATAACTAAGCAGTGATATCACTTGAAAGTGACATTGCCTCAGACCAATTTGCACGTATATCAAATATTGAGGTGTGCCAAAGTCATCCTGGCAGCTAAATCAAACATGGTAACCAGAGGAAGTAAACAGTGGAGCACAACAAAACAGTACAGTACTGTGATATTCTCCTGTATCACAGGCACATAAATAGTTGCTGGGGGTCAAACCTCAGTCATCACATCTGACTGAGCTACCGTGACTCATGTAAAAATGAGAGAGTGCCAGATTAAAATCTCCTCATGAAGATTATGTGCAATGTCCCTTTATCTCTAGGAAAATTCTCAGTTTCTGTCACAAGATGGTATGTGCCCTTTTTTCCCCTGACTGATATTAGTTTCTCTAGCAACTGAAACTAGTGTACTAGTTTCTAGTGGAGTCAAATTGAAGTCATGGTATAATTAAGACTCAAACTATAACAGTTTATCTTTAACCATATTTTTGATAAATATAAGAATTTGTTTAAGAATCCTCAAATGCATGCTTAAAGTAAAATTATTCAGGCTAGTGTCTGGGTATGTAATTGTATACTCCACTGGTACTGCCTTTTGTTAGTCCTTTACCACGATAATAATTACCAGATTCTTCTGAGTATGAAGAACATTTCAGAACACACAGCAATGTCACTGACAAGTAGTTTGTGTAGTGACTGGTGAGAAAGGCAGCAGGTCCCAATACACTGGTACATTTAATAACATGTTTATGCATATAAATATATGTTGACATCACTGATAATATAATATCCTTTGACAAAACTGAAAATTATGAGCATACTGTTGTTCTTTTGCATTGAAATTCATGAACATCAATGTTTAAAATTTCTCTGGGCTATACTAGTAGGTTTAAACATTTCTTTCTTTTGTCCTTTCATATGTGGCCCAAATGCGTGTAGCTTAAATAAGGTGACAAATTCAGGGCCCCAATTTTGATTATAAATAGCTGTATCTCTTGCAAAGGTGTTGTGTAATATAAGGTTTGAAAGCAAAACTGAGTGTGGGCTATAACTAACTGTTATTTTTCAGCTACTTGCACACGAATAGTAAAATGTCTAAAAATTAATAATTAGCAACTCACCTTCTCCATTTCTATATTCCAACGTGTCGCAATCACTTGGCTGTTTCTTGTTGCATTCATCACTACCCCTCCTTGAAACACAGTGACATGTTATAAGCAACTTGTAACTTCATACCAAATAATGTTTATCAATTACATGTCTGCTGGTACAAAATAATAATGAAGCGCTAGTGCCAATCGCATCAACCTTCCTTATCACACATGTCCATCAGGAACAATTGAAATTGTATAAATGGAATTTAAATCAGGGTTTTAAAAAATTGGATAAAATGCATCAATCTTAGGATATAGGCATTAGAAGTGTTAATCTTCATCTTGTTAATCACTTTTCAGTTACTGGCCATATTTCACCTCCATATAACAGAATGATGTTGAATACACAATTTTCCTTTCTATCGAAACTATTCTATCCTATAAAATTATGTGTAGAGTTTTGTTGCAGTTCCATTTGTTAAAATTGTTTTGAAAATTACTTATCACATGTTTCTAAATTAGATATAATTTAAGCTGTATATTCAAATCTGTTTTCATTTTATGCATACAAATTATTTGATGTTGATACCAATTTTTCATTCTTCTCGTTCTATTTTTTCATCATACACAGCATATCCTCATCTTGTGCAAACATCAACTAGACATCACAAAATAGGAGTGAAGCGTTATAAAAATATAAAAGGCACAAAGATGAAATTCTCAGTTTCATCTTTGAATAAATATTATGTTTCAAAACGTACCTTCGGAAGAAGAGGACAGCCACAATGATGATTACAACTAGGAACATGACAACCACAACAATCACTGTTGCAATAATTCTCACTTGCATGTTGTCGTCATCGCCCACAATTGCTGCAGTGAAAAAATATATTAAAATGAATGCAAAATATTAAAAGAATTATGACACTATGAACTGTCACATATTACATGCATTTCTGATATATTAAAACTGAATTTAAAACTCCAGACATTGTTTTAGTAAAATGAACAATGTAAAAATGGTAGTTTAATATACAGAAGGGAAAAGGAAAATTTCTTCTAGATAGTATACACCTCCGGTGAGTGGCCCAAGGACTTTCTGGAAGTAACAATGATCGCATTACAGAAGAAGAAGAATTTCAAGAAGTGCAGCAATTACAGGACCATCAGCCTAATCTCACATGCGGCGAAGATAATGACTAGAATACTGACTAAAAGACTAGAAAAGAAGATAGAGGAAGTGATGGGAGAAGACCAATTTGGATTCAGGAGAGGAAGAGGAACCAGAGATGCCATCAGAGTTATGAGAATAATTTCAGAGAGAGTTCTCGATGTCAAGGAAGAAGTATGTGCCTGCTTCATCGACTGGAAGAAGGCTCTCAATCGAGTAAAATGGAAGAAATTAATGATGATCCTATAGAGAATTGGAATTGATTGGAGAGATAGAAGACTAATCGAAAACCTGTACATGCAGCAAAAAGTCAAAGTGAGACTTGACTCAGGAAACACCAACAGCGTTGAGATAGGTAGAGGTGTAAGACAGGGATGCTGCTTATCACCAATTCTTTTTAACCTATACGGGGAATGGCTTGCCAAGGAAGCTCTGGAGGGAACAGGAGACTTCAAAATTGGAGGATGAAAGGAAATAACTATTGTCATAATTCTTCAGATGCAAGAATAAAATAAGTACAAACCTTGTTTACAACTAAGAAGTTATTTATTCGCCGGCCATTTGGAAGTATTATGTCACCTGTAGCATGCACTGCCTCTGGCAGAACCCTCTGTACATCTTGTGCAATAACACCTGTATCAGCAGTGACATTTGGGTCGGCAGCCAGTCCAGCATGGAGAGCAAATTCTGGTGCATACCGGTACCGCACCACGCGCAGCTTCTGAACATTTCGTAGCTGTTCCCGAGTGTCACACTATAACAATATTTCCACATTAATTTACAGTCTTTATACCACTGTTTATAAAATTTGGAGCAGTGGTCCCTGGGGGCCTAAAAATTTCTTTGAGGCAGACTGGATGTCTGAAAATAAACAAAATCTTCAGAGTATATGAAAAAATGCATTAAAGTTCAGTGTCATTCAGGGTATGGAAAAAGAAAAGAAATTCCAATCTCAGAATAAAACTTAATATCATGTGAAGTCTGGTTACTAATAAGAAAGAAGAAGAAGAAGAATGGTGATCTTAAACAAGGAAAGAAGATGAAGTTTCAGGAGTTAAAACGAGAAGCTGAGAATAGGGAAAACTGGCGAGCTCTTTTTGGGCAGAACAATGGACCTGTCGTCAGACAGAACACTCAATAATAAGTAGGTACAATCCATTCTACCTCACCTGTCCCTAAAATCTGACCAGTTGTTTTAAAGAGGGTCGGGCTAAATTCTCCCCATCCATGGGTTGTTTTAGCTCGAACCTGGAAGCCATATTCTGTTCTCTGACGTAACCCCGTGAATGTTGTTTGCTGTTCTTTAGTTAGTGTACTGGATGCATTGCCATCATCATGGCGAGCAAAACAGCGAACCTGTAGAGTTTGGAACATATTTAACCCTTTAAAATCAAAGCTCATTTAAGCTAATTTTAAAAAAGTATTGTATGTCAAAGAAAATACAACACACTTCCTTGACAAAGATCTTCCAGATGCACTCTGTGGGCAAAATGCAGAGCTAATTATTAAAACTGGTTATCACCATAAAGTTACTTACTACTGGGCTCTAAGAGGTTACTATGCAAGGAAACCAAAATAATGAACAAAACATGTAGGTAGATTTATATAATTCAAATGGCACTCACCTCATACATCTCAACAATATCACCCTCTGTATCAGTGGCATCAATGGTGTGTGGTGGGTCCCAGGCCAAAGACATCTCTGTGGACTTCACAGATGTCACTCTAACATTTATAACACTGGATGGGACAGAGGCCTCTGTGGTCACTGTGATATCAACATAATCACTTTCACCAGCCAATTCTGTTATCCCATTTTCTGCAAAAACTTGGAACCTATACGTTGTAACTGGATTTAGTCCAGTTATGGTCACCTTTGTGTCATTGAAAACTGCCTGAAAAAATTCACATCCATCATCAAAGTTGTGTTGCGATTAATTAATTGCATTGGCATTGTATCAATTCATAAGACAAAAACTTCATGTTAGTATTACTCTCTTAGAAACAGAAAGCAACAGCAACTTTTATATTATATCGATTCCCAATTGTTCTGGTACATAAATCAGTATGTTAAAATTCTAGTATAAATAGATCTCTCCCCACCCCCACTTATTCTCAGTTGACATGTTGCGTGATACAGGCATCCTATGACAATGTATACTCACTGTGCTGGGACTATACGAGACGCCGGGTCCACAGGAATCACACTCTACTCTGTATACAGTGTCCACTCTTCCTCCTTGAAAGTGAGGGGGTGTCCATGACAGAATTACTGTAGACTGGTCCACAAATCCTACTGTCAGATTTTGTGGTGCTGATGGAGGTTCTGCACATAAGAACAAATTGGCACTAGTTATTGTAGGATATGATTTAGTCTTAAATTGTGGCTGGATAAAATTAAACAAGAATTGCCGTTTCTTCTTTTCTTTTCAAGTGTGATAACATTTTCTGTCACCTTTATTGGCTTCCAGCACTTTATTCTGGTGTGGTTATTTTGTGGTACTGGTGTGAATACTACCATTTTCAGTACCCATCTAATCCTTTTATTACAAAACTTTTAAGTTTGCAGCCTGAGGGCCTACTAGCCCATGTTTTAACAATCGCAAAATGTCCTCTCTCTTATAATAAAGTTCTCTTAAATTTACAAGCTGTCAGGTGCTTAAATGGTGGTTATTTTTCCTTTAACCATCTGACATGGCTTGCAACCCACGAAAACTTTATTATATCAAGTCGCTGTGAAAGCTCCAGATCACACACATTCACTTTTACTTGAATAAACTATGACACCCTCCTTTCGCATTTACCGTCATATTCTTCTGTTGGGTTAGGAAATAAATTTAACATGAGGTATCAATGGCCAGAAACATCATGAGTTAACGACAGACACAAAACATTTTGTGTAGCTGTGTAGGAGAACTCAATAAAAAGACATACATAAATACACTTAATTTAATTAATACGAAATGAAGTCATGCCAGAACTCAGAAGATAAGCTGTTGATATCTTATTGAGGTGGCTTGCATTCAGTCTCAGAGCAATCCATGGGACTTCCAGTGGACAAAGTGGCACTAAAACAGGTTTTCTCCAAGCACTTTGGCTTAGCCCCGCCAATCAACATTCCACCAACAAAGTATAATCATCTGAAGTATGTGACAGGCCTGACCAAGTAGCATTTAGTACAGCCTTGATTGTCACTTGGGATTTCATCTCTGGCTTGGTACTAGGTTGAACTCGGCATAGAGAAGTTTACTTTTAAATCTGAACTGAATATACAGTTCCTTAGAAATTCCAGGAAGCACAACTTCTTTCTCCGCGAAAAGCATAGAGATATCAAGTCGGCCGTCTTAATGAGATGCTTGCAGAAGTGCTTGGAATCTGAAAATACCTTTTCCAGAATATTTTTTTAATGAACTGTCTTGTCTGAAGGAGCAGGAGTGGTAGTGACAGCTATTGTCTGTAAGGTGTAGTTACCTAGAGGTTACGATAGATGCGCCCATCCAACTGGCTAATGAGAGGGTGGGTGTTGACTCTTGTCCGTTTGGTTCATCTTTCCAAAATCCACCCACTAACCCATCCAACCTCCTCCCTTACTCACTCAATAGTCTCAGGCTATGAGGCAAGCAATAGCTTGGCCTACTAATGGTGTTACTTCACTAGATGCTTTACAAGTCACAGAAGAAAATGAGGTGTCTGAACTTCGTAGTTCTTATTTTATATTCTCCCTTACAGCTTCTTTTGAAAAATTAATTTGATATTTTAATGCCTGAATTCTCTTCAATACAAAAGAATAATAACTGCTTTATCTGAATTGTTAATTAGTACCAGCAAAACTAGCATTGTTCTAGAGTTGTAGCTAAGCGATAAAAATTTTAAATATTAGTGTGTGTTCTCTCCTTAGAGTGAAAAGATTTCATTATGTATTGGTCGCATGCGTTATTTTAACTCCAAAAATATTTGATTTCTTTAATGGCTCCAAAAAAAATTGTGAATGGTTTAAAATGCAAGATAGACAATTTATATTTCAATAATTTTTGATGCGATGAATAGTTAAATAAAATTGATAATATATGTGTAGTGCAATATCTGTAGTATGACTATCACTTTGCAGCAATATATTTGTATTTGAAATACAAGGAGTGACAAGGTCAAAAATGAGTTGGAAGTTACACTTCCTCCCCGACACCACCATGGCGTGTAGTTTTGCAGCTTTTCTTACCTTTATTTTGCTTTGTTGTTAATTCTCTACAGCATAGAAGCGTTTGTTGATGAGCTGTGCACAAACTTTATATAACGTTTTATTACATTTTGTTAAATATTTCCTATATTTACAAATGCTTCAAATACATATTGTAGATACTACTGAAATCTATATTTTATATTATGTATCAAATTATTCTTGAAAAAAACAATGTTTCATTTGAGCTTCTTGTAAAATATGGGTTACATTGGACAAATATTACCAAAATAAAATCTGCCTACTAGTCTACACCCTGACACCAAATTTAATCAAATGTTGTTAAATAATATGGTATGAAACCTGAAGAGGCAAACATGGCCTCTACACGAGTTAACTGGTGTACTTATGCAAAGAACAGACTGTGAACTGAGAATAAATTAGCATTTTCTCACTTCAGTAGTGTTCCCAAGTAACAACTGCTAACAATTTGAAGTACTAAGAATTGACGATTTCTAGAAGCATTTAAGTGAATCACGTACTCAAAAAAAAAAAAAGTGAAAATTCTATACATTTTGTGCTTAAGCACAAGGACAACTTCACCTTTAATTGTGCTCTTGGGATGTCAACTACAATCTACATAGTAGGATTTGAGGTTTTCACAGCACTGAGTCTGAAGACTGCTGCTGTCTTTTTGGTTATAGCCATCTACAATCTACATGTTGAGAAGTAAATTAACTTACGGGTGCAAGGCATGTTCTTGGGATCTTTGGCTGCCCTATAGTACCCTGAATTACAGCGGCACTCAGAGAAGCCATAGTCTGGTGCCTTGCTGTGATCTGGGCAAGGCTGGCAGTGTTCATCTCCTGTAGCATGCTTGTATTTACCTGGAGGGCAAACTTCAGAAGACAAAAGCAAATCACACAGTTGTTAGTCGTCATGCCAGTTCCATTAAGATGAAGTATGGCTTTGTGTGTGAAAGGACAGTTCAAGATAATTAGTATAATATGACAAGCTACCACAGATTTTGGTCTGCTATTGTTTAAACAATTCTATTCCAGAAATTCTAATATCTATCGAAGAATGTTCAAAAATATGTGAGAGGCAATTTAACTTCCAAACCATCAGCTGAGTTGAAACACGGAAAGGGATTAAAATATAAGTTTGTATGCTTCTTGCAAAAACCTAAGGAAATTATGTTCATATTAAGCACAGGATGACGAAAAATCTGTTTAATTAATTTCCAATTTATATCACCTGAAAGTTAATATGAATATCGACATATGCACAGAGAACTTTATTGTATTATGCAGCCATCTAAAAGCAAAAGACACACTTAAATGAATGATTGCAATGACAGGTGGATGTGTTCAGCAATAGTAATAAGCACGACTAAGTGCATGTCCCATGCTGTGACAGAGGCAGCTAATGTGTTAATGATGTTCAAACACTGTAAATACTTGATGAACTAGCTAACAAACTGACTCAAAGACTAAACAGATCACTTAAACACTGACAAATCAACAAATGCAGTCACAGGAGAACTGTAAATAAAATGTGTCCATAAGCAGACCAATAACAATAAACATGGATAAGGAGGAAAATTGAATTTTCAGTACTGAAGTAGGATAAATTACATTTAATTTTTGCTGACAATGTGCTGCAATAAATGTTGCCATATAAGGCATAAGAGTACTTTAACACATCAAGAAGTTGTGTGACACCTTCACACACTTTTACTCAATTTCTGTTCTCTTACTTCTGACAATATTAATTTTTACATTAACTGGAATTCTGTTATGTAATACTCACAACAGGAAAGGCAGATGACATTAATTGGTTATCCTGGAGTGTCTATATTACTGGATTTAAAGATGTTAAAACCGATCATTTGTTCTGAACTATTACTAAGAGAAATATATATATATATTCTACCGATAAAAACATAAATTCCTTTTGAATAAGTCTCTCTCCTGTGTTGAAACAACTTCATATCATGAAACACAAAAATTAAAATACATATTACATTTTTCCTTACAGGCATAAAGAGTGTGTTTTAGATGAACCTCTGCTATAATCAGTCACCACCCTTAGTTTTAAAATGCCAGATGTTTCCACTGTGCTGTGCATCATGAATCAAAAAATGATAGCATCATAACTTTATAATTACAACTCAATACCTGCAGATTTTCTAGTCTCTAATTCTGGGTCAAACAAGCAAAATGGGGAGGAAATTGTGAGTACATATATGTCAAAATCTTTCACCATAATACCAGTGCCTGACAAAAGCCTGAAAGTCCCAAGATGTCTACTTACAGTGAAGAGTAGCCATGTTTTCTGCAAGAACTGTTAACAGATAGGCCATTACAAACATAAATTTTAAGAATAATTATACTCTGAAAGTAAAGCATGCTTACCATTGCAGGTCTGCTTCTCGTGGTCAGCCTCATAACCAGCCTTGCATTTGCATCCACCAGTGGGTAAGTACCACTTTCCATCACCCTTGCAAAGATAAGTGGGAGTGTCCACCTCCTCTGCATTTTCCACACAGCGGCCTGTTGCTTGCTCAATGAATGTCACCTCACGCCCTGTTGGAGTCGTCGGAAAGTGGGCAAAATTCACTGTAACCTCAGGGCACGTAATGTAGTATACCTGAAAACAAGAGTTTATTTACAAAAACAGTAAAGATATACATGAACTCAATTACCTGTCTCCCGGTGGTTGTGAAACATCATCCCTTACAATGACAGGAAAATGAAACAAAAAAATAATCAACTGATTCCATGAAGTGCAGCCCTTCATCAAAAGCTAATAGTCATTCAGTTAATTAAGAAATGCCCTCCCCGATACGAAGTCAGAAGTTTTGTTGTAACACAACGCAGTCTTCACCCCGGATTCACAAACTCGAACATCTCGTGTAATAACTCACCATCATAAAATAAATTTAGCAAAATTAATTTAGAAACAACACACTGAAAGATATAATGTTTTGGTACATCCCAAAACTATTTTATCAACTTCAAGAGCTTGAAAATATGTACCTTAATGGCTAGAAGTGAGATGCAGGCTCCCTGATCACGAAAGGCAAAGTACACCCCCTTCTTTGTGACAGGAATGGATTTGACCTCAGTGTTGATGATCACCTCACTGTTTGTATTGAACCTGCCCTCTCCTGCTGCTATTCGACCTACAAAACAAACATTCCATCAAGTAAACAGTACTGCAGTTAGAACAAATACTAATGTTGTTCTTCCACTTGTAATTCATGTCATTGTCTACTCAGTATCATAGATGCCATCAGTGTTCAGAATCTCAGTGTTTGCTGCCACATCATTAAACCCCTGTTAATACAAAGAATGATTGTAGAAGGAATTACATAAAACTTCAGTAGTTAAACTTAATGGTACCTGAACCTTGTCCTGGTGGTGGGGCTTGAGTACCTCAGTGACCCCAAGAGCTATGCTGGCGGTATCATAGCTACTGGTAGGGCCTCCCTAGCCAGATTGGTTGAGGGGGAGAGGTCAGACTAAGACAGGTGCCCTGTTCCTCCAGCTTGGGGGTTGGTCGCAAGGCTAACAACCTCGCACAGTAAAAAGGAAGATGTTTCGAAACCTCAATCAAAGCCTCAGACAGACGGACCTAACAGAGGACCGAATGAAAGAGGAGAATTGAGGAAGCCACGGACCAAATACGGACCGGAGAGCCATAGAAGAAGAAGAAGAAGTTAAACTACATGTCTGCTAGTTTTCATTCCTACATGTAACTACCCCTGATAAGGCAAAAAGACTATGCCAGCAGCGGTGGTAAATGTACTTAATTTCCAATGGTACGTAATGGAGATATATATATAGTTCTGATGGGGCCGGCACTGGATGAAATGTACAGGTGCCTCATTGAATATAGTAGTGTCCCAAGTACATAGCTGAAATCATACACAATATTGGCTGAACCAATAGTGAAACATGATGGTGAAATATGAACATAAGGTGGCAGAGATAAATGACAACAGAAATGGCAGACAAACTATAATTAGACACTGGGCCAGATATGACCAGAAAAAAATAAATATTGATATGTATGAGGAACTTGAAGGTCATATACTACGGTTAAGAAAGAGGTCAACCATTTAGAAGAAAATAATAAGACTTGTATGTATATTAGTTGAAGACAGATGGAAATTATAAACATCCAGGAAGACAGATACTGGAAAGAGTTCTGGCTTAAGCATTAAGCCACCTGGTCTGCAAAGACAAGAACAAGTATTGTAACAGTAACAATGCAAGCTTACCAATGAGCTTGTAGCTCTCTGGTTCCCACGGTGGAGGTTCTCTTGTTGCTGCATCAAATTCATAGTACAGCAGGCTGAAAGTTTCTTTGCACGATAGAGCATTGCCCGGAAACAACGAGCAATCCCGGATTGTGAACTTGATCTCAATATAGATGCGATTTGCAATCCCTCGTTCCACAAATGGAGTCCACAGCCAGTTATTCACATTGTTGTGAGCTACGTCACAAACAACATATGACCTCCAGTTGATGCCCTTATCAAAGTTGGTGAAACTCTCCTCGATCCACTGCAATCACAGAAGTAGTGACACGAATACATTAATGAGTGCTATGAAGTGATTGTAGGTAGTTAATTCATAATTCTATCTTTTAAAATAAAACAAGTTATTAATACTACTCGCAAGAGGCATGTTACATTTTAAGCATGCTGTACCTGAGATTCTTTACAGCCTTTGTTCAGTGCCTCACTTCGGATCTAAAATGTCAAGTGTGCTCAACCTTTGCCAGGACATTATCTTCCGTTTTTTGTAATTGTGACAGATATCAGACACCTATGTGTTACATATACTTCAAAATGTCATTATAGCTACTGGAGCAAGATGTATTTCACAAATCTTACAGGGGAATTGTGTTTGTGAAACAGTTGCCCATCACCGATTTTTGTTCTTTAATTACTGAATTTTTTCAGTGGACAGATGCACATACTACCATAACATTTAATCTGTAACCTGAATCATATTCTGTAAAACAACACTGCAAATTCAAATTGACAAACTAATATAAGGGATTATTTAATTGTAACTGGGGACTTTCATGCAAGAGTGGGCAATGTAAAATTTTCTGAGTTGTAGGAACCAATAGCAAATTAGCATTTTATCGAAATGGGCAAATCCTTACATCAATCACATACCATAAAATAAATCCATAAATAGAGTGTCTGATGTATCAAAGCTATTATTAATTAAATATTTGAAAAATAAGGAGATATTACTCCTAGAAAAATGCAAGCCGAATCAGAACATGTATAATGATGAAGATATTGAACATGAATCCAAAGTAATACAAACTATAACTCAGAAAACGAAGCATTTTACAGAGTGACAGTTGCCCGGCTGATCAAGAAATTCCCTACCTTTTACCATCAAATCTGAAGACTCACTACTGTCTTCACAAAACCCAGCTGAATCCAGTACGTCCCTCACACCCTTAAAAGCCTTTTTAATATCATCCTCTCATATATAACTAGGTTGTAATTCCCTTCAGAATTTTGTGTGCCTTCCTTGTTTTGCTTAGTTTGTTGTTGCTGTCATCATTATTAACTGTAAATACGCCAGTTTTTTAATGCTGCCAATTATTTACATGCCGCAGGAATTCCTATCGACCCTCCACATATTAATAAAACAGATATTAGGCGGAAATGATATGTTGGCACTTAATATTTTCCCTAAAAAGATGCCCTAAATGAATTTGGGGAGGAGTTACTGAACTAGCGCATGCAATATCCGATGCTGCGCTTTTGTCTGAACAATGCTGAATCTTTGTATTAGTGTGCCTGAGGTATTTCAAAGGGTGAAAAATACTGCATTGTGACATAATAACTGAACACTGCAAATCAGTTTCATTTTAACTTTCCCTTTGGGTTACACAAAGCTTGGATGGCAGAGACATTTGGATAACCTGTCAAATGGATGCACTATATTTAATGATGTGTGCCATAACTTTAGTATTAGCATAATGCATTATCGACAGCATGGGTTTAATGTGGTTGACATTATAGAACACAACAAATGGACCATGGTGTACAGAGGGACTAATTAGTGTAAAATAAAAATTTGCTTTCACCACAGAGAGTACGTTATGTATTGCCCATATGGGCAAGGATTATACAGGGCTTTTGAAATCCAGCAATATCACAATTTACACAATTTATAATTCAGACTTCCATTTAAATAGTTAACAAAGAGCATCAATATCTGTAGGTAAAATGGAATCCGCCTTGAAGGTTGCCACGAAGTTAACCGAGAATGTAGCCAGTGTTTGTAATGGCCAAGAAGAAATGTTCAATTTGAATCATAAATAATAACGCAGGAGACCACAATATCCTTAAGTATTCTTCCAGGATGATGCAAATATTTGTGCAGTTAAACAAATGTCTTCAGTTTCTGTATATGTACACAACAGAAAACATGTACTGAGTAAAACACTGCTGCATATCCTCTTTCGAATGTACTGAACAAATGGATTTGTGTTCTGGAGACAAACGGTTCTAATCTAGGTTTCTTGTTTTTCTACTCACCAGTCAGATGCTGAGAAACATGAAGACATAACCAGCCCTAGCTATATGCCTTCATTTCGTGCATACATCATAGAAATAACGCATGAAAATGACAAAAGTCTTATAATTTGATATTTGAACATCGTTGCAGGCCGGGTCGATATTTTCCAAGCAATCTTTTGCTCGCCACAGTCTTAAAAGTTCCTCATGATAAATAATTTTTCGTCCCGGCATTTCACAAAACTAACGGTAATTAATTTCGTCGTTATTAACAATCACATGTCGCCAAAAACCAATAATCGTAAAGTTAACTTGCCCCCGAGATGATTTGCATGTACTCTGCTTTCCTCCGCATTGAATATATCCTTTGAACTTAAATATAAATCAAGGGGTTGTTGCAACTGTTAACAGGGGTAAAAAATCGGCACTAATATCCTTTTGTACAACCCATTTTCTTTTCATTTATCGACTAAGTAGCCCCTGCTATGCTACGTGATGGCTATTCTATTCAGCAGTCAGTAAGTTCGACTAGGGACTAGTAAACGGTTAGCCAAATTGTGAATAAGCAAGGAAGTTTGATGATGATTATGACCCGCGAGCATTCACAGTGGCTTGCCTCCTCCAACTAATAAATGTCGCAACAGGGGTGCATAGAAACTGATTTTAACACGCGACCAGCTTATTTTAGGGCGTGTGCTACTGCGGGGAAGGGATTTAATGGGATGCAAGGGGTGTTGAAGGGGATGTCATTCATACGTCAACGGGAAGCAAATAGCGGGTGCAAGTTAACTAATGTTTAGCTAATAATAATAACTTTTCAAGGGCTCGTTATATTTTAGGGTGCGTATTCAGTACGTGCATCGCCATAGCATTCCGGCCTTATTGACTCATGGAGTTGGATTAAATGAGGCGTTGAAAATGTAAGTGGCGTACGTCGTACGAAATACAACCTTTGCGTACACTGCAAGTCCCGACGGAAATTCGTTCACAGCCTGCATTTGTGTTATTGTACTTGTTAGACGTACGCTGAGATCACAGAACCATCGTTCGTCGATCGTTTATTTATTGACTTCTCCTGAACATGAAGTAATAGAAAGCTAATCGGGTTGTACCCTGTTAAGAATCACTCTCAGCAGACACACTGCCAGCGGTATGGAGACAATGTCAACACTGGTACGCTGAAAGCCTTCAACCTTGAAAACAGAGGCAGTATGTTTCTCCGAAACGTCGATACGCACTTACAGTTAAATGAAGCTTTAGAATCCACCAGACCATCAACAGCTTTACCGCTCCAAGGGCCTCGAGTCTTGGAAGAATGTGAAGAATCAGTGCAGTTGGCCTACGTATCATCCTCATCAATTTCTGAGACACCGCGACCGAAATGAGCCCTTTCCCTCACCTCTAGACCGGGCACATCGCGAAAAACGCAACACAAAATACACACATTTTCAATGCAAACTACTTTGGGTCCTTCTTGAAAACGAGACG